TCGTCTTCTGTCCCTTCACGTGGCGGGGCTCCTGTGCTGTACATCTATCTACATATATCGAACTCATTCACACATACATTCAACAGGAAGGAAACAAAGGCAACTGCAAGGCCTGTGTGTGTCTGTCCACAGGGTTCTGATGACAGCTTCTCTACAGTCTCAAAGTACCTCCTTTTCCTACACCTGAGTTGAAAAACATTTGGAGAAGAAAACTAAACAAAACCACAAGGTAACACCAGTGCTCTCCTCTTATCACCAGCTCCTTTTGTCCATAGAGAGGCTCTGAGAGGACCGGGCTGGAGGTCCACAGAGAGCTATAGACAGGGTGGAGAGCCTTCTCCAGACAAACCCAGTGTGAGATAAATAATTTATAAAGGTCAAATAGAGCACCACAATCAGACCATGTCAATAGGCCACTTAAAGCCTGCGTTTACACAGGCAGCCCAATTCTGAGTCCAACCAGCATGCAGACAGAGGAGCAGGGTCTCCAGATGTTCTTGCTGGCTGGGCCTAGAGGGAGGGACCAGCTGTACACAAAGTCTGAACTTGACTGGAAGTCCACAGGCATGAAGACAGACAGGGCCATGTCTCTGCAAAGGCAGTCTCAGTGAGGGTTCCACACAAAGCAGACAGACATCCCCAGAGGCAAAGAACTCATTCCCTAAAGAGATTCTCAAATAAATATGTCTCCCTTGTCTGCACACTGCAAATTTCCTGTCCAATGCAGTGGGAGCCCTACTTACTGGTGCCCTCTGACACAGACAGAACCACTCCGCAGCAGAGAACATCATGGTTCCAACAGCACAGTCACTTTTAAAGTCTTATGACAGGAGAGACACAGGCAAGCACACAGGTTGTCGTCATGGATGATATGCAGGCACTGCTTTGTGTGAAGGTTTTTGTTGCTTTTGTCCTTTACCTGAATTGTGGAGAAAATGAATGAAACAAGAATATCAAATCATTGAAACTAGGGCTGTGGCGGTCATGACATTTTGTCAGCCGGTGATTTTCAAGCAAATAACTGCCGGTCTCACGGTAATTGACCATAAATTAACCAACACATTTAGTATTTCCTGGCTTCCACGCAGTCTACAAGCCACTGATACAGACCTTTGGAACATCTACATTAAAAAAAAGTCTAATAAATCTATTTAATACACCATGACAATAAATCCATTATTTATTTTAGACAGGTCTAAAGAAACATATGAAGAAAATGTAGTATATTTCAGAAGAACAGAATAACATAATGAGTTGTCCTTATGTTAGGTCCTGATCTGGCTATACCAATGGCTGTGGGCTACACTAGTTCATTTAGCAGACAACATTTGCTTTGAATTCCGTGGCATTATTTTATAGTACAAAGAATACAATTGAACAAAGCTGAATAAAATAGAAAGGATATATTCTCCAAACGATTTGAGGCAGTGCACACATGCGGCTATTCGGTGTTGAGCGGTTAACAAAGAAACAGGTCCTCCAACATGCTTAAATTTAGTTATTTATGCAACTTTAGTTGTGATACAAACAGACTATATGTTTTTTGATTTTTTATACATTCTAAGGCTGCATGATGAGACTAATAATGATATGAAAAAAGTTGCATGAAAGGCATGAGCTCTGCTTAGTTTTTTGCACAGGCTGCACACACTTCATCAGTCTCCCATTCACAATTGACAAGTACTTGATAATGCCTCGAATTTCCTGGCTGCATCCCCTTTGTGTGGCCGTAATGCACCCAAAAGAAAAATCCATGCCTTTTGCGGCCAGTGGCCGTTGTGTCCTTGGGCAGAATATAATAATGATAATTCCCTTCTCCCGGCTGCATGCTTCGAAGCACCTCTCACTCACATGGCTCTCTCAGATGTCTCAATTCTTATTAGCCAATGCCCGTCACGTGATCGGGTCCTTCTCACAGGCTACAAGTGAAGACACATCGGGGACGCAACTGCGCGCGTCCTTATCAAATTCTGAGGCGCATATTGAAGATGTTGGAAGAACTGTCCACATTTACTTTCCGTCAGCCAACAAGATGAGTAGGCCTAACGAACAGCAAAACCACTAGCCTATGTCAATCTACTATCCCCCATAGTACAAAAGTTGACCTATTCTATTGGTCAATTTGTCCTTCTGTGCGAGAAATAAATATTCCAAACATAGCCTGGGACAGTTGAGGGATGTGATTGATCCTAAATTAATACAACCACTAGCATCAAAAAAACTTTCAAAAGCAATGAGGCTGATGCAACAGATCAGAACATTAAGCTTAAATGTTGATAAGCTATTAGGCTATTTCTTCACATTATAAGCGCAGCAATGCGCACACGGCAGTAGGCTACAAAAGTGAATGTTCCAAAATGCATTCAATTAGCGGGAAAAAACCATTCTCAAAAGTGACCGCAAATGCGATTATGTATGTAATGCTTTATTATAAAGGTGCATTTTTATGGTGAAAATGATCTTCCCCAAACTTGAAACGTACTCGCAGCTTATGCATGCCAGTTAGCCTCTACAGTGGTTGTAAAGCAGATTCATGTGCTTAATTTTAAGAAGCTATATTTGGCCACTTTAGTTGTGATACAAACCTTATCAAAACATATAGGCCTATGGGCTAGGCGACATGAGGTGTGCAACTATGATTTGAAAAAGTCACAAAAGAAAAAGCATGCACTGTTTCTTGCCTTAAGCTGGGCATCATTCACAAGTGATAGGCTAATAGTCACCCATCAGACTGTTCTTGATTTAATCTTGTCTTTACATACAGTGGGGGGAAAAAGTATTTAGTCAGCCACCAATTGTGCATGTTCTCCCACTTAAAAAGATGAGAGGCCTGTAATTTTCATCATAAGTACACGTCAACTATGACAGACAAATTGAGAAGGAAAAAAATCCAGAAAATCACATTGTAGGATTTTTAATGAATTTATTTGCAAATTATGGTGGAAAATAAGTATTTGGTCACCTACAAACAAGCAAGATTTCTGGCTCTCACAGACCTGTAACTTCTTCTTTAAGAGGCTCCTCTGTCCTCCACTCGTTACCTGTATTAATGGCACCTGTTTGAACTTGTTGTCAGTATAAAAGACACCTGTCCACAACCTCAAACAGTCACACTCCAAACTCCACTATGGCCAAGACCAAAAAGCTGTCAAAGGACACCAGAAACAAAATTGTAGACCTGCATCAGGCTGGGAAGACTGAATCTGCAATAGGTAAGCAGCTTGGTTTGAAGAAATCAACTGTGGGAGCAATTATTAGGAAATGGAAGACATACAAGACCACTGATAATCTCCCTCGATCTGGGGCTCCACGCAAGATCTCACCCCGTGGGGTCAAAATGATCACAAGAACGGTGAGCAAAAATCCCAGAACCACACGGGGGGACCTAGTGAATGACCTGCAGAGAGCTGGGACCAAAGTAACAAAGCCTACCATCAGTAACACACTACGCCGCCAGCGACTCAAATCCTGCAGTGCCAGACGTGTCCCCCTGCTTAAGCCAGTACATGTCCAGGCCCGACTGGAGTTTGCTAGAGTCCATTTGGATGATCCAGAAGAGGATTGGGAGAATGTCATATGGTCAGATGAAACCAAAATAGAACTTTTTGGTAAAAACTCAACTCGTCGTGTTTGGAGGACAAAGAATGCTGAGTTGCATCCAAAGAACACCATACCTACTGTGAAGCATGGGGGTGGAAACATCATGCTTTGGGGCTGTTTTTCTGCAAAGGGACCAGGACGACTGATCCGTGTAAAGGAAAGAATGAATGGGGCCATGTATCGTGAGATTTTGAGTGAAAACCTCCTTCCATCAGCAAGGGCATTGAAGATGAAACGTGGCTGGGTCTTTCAGCATGATAATGATCCCAAACACACCGCCCGGGCAACGAAGGAGTGGCTTCGTAAGAAGCATTTCAAGGTCCTGGAGTGGCCTAGCCAGTCTCCAGATCTCAACCCCATAGAAAATCTTTGGAGGGAGTTGAAAGTCCGTGTTGCCCAGCGACAGCCCCAAAACATCACTGCTCTAGAGGAGATCTGCATGGAGGAATGGGCCAAAATACCAGCAACAGTGTGTGAAAACTTACAGAAAACGTTTGACCTGTGTCATTGCCAACAAAGGGTATATAACAAAGTATTGAGAAACTTTTGTTATTGACCAAATACTTATTTTCCACCATAATTTGCAAATAAATTCATTAAAAATCCTACAATGTGATTTTCTTTTCTCATTTTGTCTGTCATAGTTGATGTGTACCTATGATGAAAATTACAGGCCTCTCATCTTTTTAAGTGGGAGAACTTGCACAATTGGTGGCTGACTAAATACTTTTTTCCCCCACTGTATACTAAATAATATGTGTGTGAAATTTGTTTTGATTTAGAATGGACCATTATCATGCACATTTCGAAACAGGGGCAGGGTAAAAAAAGACATGTCATCTATGCACTTAAATAGCGATTGGAGGACGCTTTTCCCGTGGTTCATATTCATGCCAGCCAGGTAGGCTATACTCCTGTTGTAAAGCGAAGCAATGTGCTTAATATTAGGAATGTTGAAAAATAAATATAGTAGGCTAGCCTATAGAAAGCTGATGGGATCCTCCTCTTTTTAATAGAGGCCATCAAAACTCACAATTGCATAGCCTATAGAAATGATGCGCAACATGAGCTCATGGGCTCTCATGATTAGATTATTGATGTCAGAGTGAGAGGGACAATAGAGTGCTGAGTACCAGGCAGTTAGCAAGTTTGGTAGGCTACTAATGACCATCAGCAGCATCAGAGCTTGGAGAAGCCTAGTTACCGTGACTAAACAGTCATGTGGAATTTGACTGCAGTCATGACTCGTGACCGCCGGTGTGGCAGTAATACGGTCACCGTAACAGCCCTAATTGAAACATGACATGTGATTTACTGAAATATGACTGGGATTCGGAAATATTGATTGGTGATAGTTCTACACCCTCAAATAGTCACTTACCCTGCTCCCACAGAGTTGCTCAAACTCCCAGTTTACTGCTGGGACCACTGGGAGACATCATCTGCTGCCTACAAGATGACATAATATATATTTTTTTTAAATCAATAACCTCTTTTCAGTATGTATTTATGTATTTATGTATTTTTAGCAGGGAGTCCCATTGAGACCGAAGCCCTGCAAGGGAGCCTTGCACATGAACGAACAGTAAGAATCTCCAGTGTAGCTCTTTCTTACCCTGGGTGAAGGAAGTGTTCAGGAACCAGGCCTCTCTGCTGGACCATCATGCCTTGGAAGTGGCCTTCAGCCTGGGGGTGTCTGTAAATGGCCATGCGGGTCTGTCCCGGGTGAAAGGGAAGGTGCTGGGGCCGCTGCAGGGCCTCCATGAGGTGGGGGTGGGGTCTCTGGGGAGTGTAGTGTCCACTAGGGTAGCTGGGCTGGCTAGGGTACGGAGGCCGAGACATTATGTGGGGGGGCGGGGCCCCGCCCTGCTGCATCCCAGGATGCACTGCTCGGGGGTCGTACAGGAAGTTGGCCACTTGAGGCGGGGGCTGGCCACTCCGGCGGCGTGCGGCAGCGTTGTGGCTGTCCAGGTCCAGGATCTCTTTGGGGCTCTCTGGCCGCTCTGAGCTCTCCTCCTCCCGAGCATGCTGAGGCTTCATTGGGCTGCTCTCCTTCTCCACAGCGCCTCCATGGGGGCCCTCGGGCAGGAGACTTGGGGACATCAGGCTGCCCCCGGAGCCCTCAGAGCCCAGGGGGGAGCCCATGCTGCTACCCTCCTTCAGGCGCCCATTGACCTTGGCACTAGTTGCAGGCAAGTAGGTGTTAGAGGGCATGGGGTGGCGAGGCTGGTATTGCTGCTGCCTGTGCCACTCCTCAGGGGGGTAGCCCCCCTGGCTGTTGCCCTGGGGCTGGGGGTAGAAGTGTTGCTGCTGGTACTGGGGGTACATGTTTGTGTGGCCCTGGAGATGCTGCTGCTGGGCCATGTGGTATGGATAGGCAGCTCCTTGCTGGTGGTAGGTGGGGTAGCCGGCAGGGTTATGGTGGGGGTTCATGGTCTGGGGCATAGCTTGGTTTGGGTAAGGCTGCCGATTTGAAGGGGGCATGGGCCTGCCCATAGGTTGACCATAGTGTGGATGTGTTGGGCTGCCCATGGCTCCAGTCTCCTGGCCCGGAGAGTGGGGAGGCATGGCTGGGATGTGACCAGGTACTGGTCCCCTTGGCCCTGGCCTGCCCTGGTTACCCAACTGTGTCTGTTGCGCCTTGGGACTGAACGACTGTTGTTTATAGATGCCGTTGGGAGGTCCAGACTTCATCATGCTGGGGTTACCAGAGCTGCCTCCAGAGTCCCTTCTGCTAGTGGGCTCGCTGGGCCTCTGGTCTCCATGGTCGGCTGGGCTGGGCTGGGGAGGCAGCTGGGACACAGGGTGGCTGGGGGGCAGGGAGGTGAAAGGGGCTGGCTGTGGTGGACCAGGGCCAGGCTGGGCCCCTTGGGGGGCGCTCTTTGGCATTCCATGCATGGGGCTTGGCTGTGGACCACGTTGAAGGGGATTCTGAGCCACATGTGGAGGTGTGTTCTGAGGGTTTCGCTGTTTTTTTTTTTTTGATCCTTGCTGTGGGACATTCTGACTGATATGTTGAGGGATGTTTTGTTGCTGAGCATTCTGGATCATGTGTTGATGGGCGTTCTGAGGGTGAGGGGCATTCTCTGGGATTTGCTGAGGGGGGATCTGGGTAATATGCTGTGGAGCATTCTGGGAGTGCGGAGAGTTCTGGGAGTGAGGTGAATTGTGGGGGTGTGGAGGAGGAACAATAGAAGGGATGTTCTGTTGAGGAGAAGTCTGGCTGACTGACTGTCCTCTTCTCTCCACCTCCTGGTTGCCGGTTGTCTCGGAGCTCTTTGGGTGTCCCGGACCAGACGCAGCCTGCTCCCCGGTCCCGCTACCCCTCTCCTGTGATCTGCCCCAGTTTGGAGCAGAGGGGCTCTGCATGCCCCCAGTGGGGCAACTGGGAGGCTCTGTGGGACTGGGGAATGAGGGGCGCTTCTGTTCAGACTGGACGGGGGTTACCCGCGTTCCTGCATGGTTTTTATTGGTCGTTTTGGGATCTGATGTGGACCCTGTTAGGACAGAGAATATAGAGGAAGGTTGCTACAGTGAACACAAAGGATCCATTTGTAGAACATCTGAGTGTATGCCTCTACAGACGGAGAACATGTCCTATTACTTTTCATGGCACACTATAAATTATAGTCACAAAATTAACACCATCTTTTATCATATTTGTTTGTGAAAAATGTTAGGTTTGTCCTTTTATATCAAAACATCTTCTTGCTAGTGTAGCTGCAGTGTGATGACATGTCATCTCTCAGTTCCACCCTCAAAGCAAGTCGCAAGACTTCATTGAACTGATGAATATTTAATTAGTCACTTACTGTGAAAAATTATTACCATCCCATTGCAAAGAAATGAGGGGAGAGGGTTTGCTTATGAAATATAGTCCTGACATTTTTTGAAATTCATTTTTTAGAGGTAGATGAGGATCCAGGTTGATTTTCATAAAGCTTAGAGGGAGAGTTGTAAAGCAGAGAAGATCATTCCTACCTTTGGGCTGCATGTCTGTGTGATGGGCAGGCTGGCTATCTGGGCCGTCGTCTCTGGCAGGACGCAGCAGCTGAATTTCAGGGGGAGGTGGGTGCTGCGAGGGCTGAGCTTGAGCTGGGGAGCTGCCAACTCCCTGTGAGGGCTGCTGCTGAAAGTTGCCCATGTGCTGGCGAGAGGAGCCAGCAGGGAGTCCGGTGGAGGAGGCAGACAGCTGCTGCAGGGCAATCATCTCTGGGCTTTCCAGCATAGAGGCCAGACGCTGCATGGAGTCCTGATGAGGTATGGGTGGCCGCAGGGCCATGGGCCCCGAGGAGCTGCTGATGCCACTGGGCATCCTGTACAGGCTGTTGGGGGGTGGGGGGTACCCTCCAGGGCCACCAGGCTGCTCTGGCCAGGGTTTGGGGCCCATGGGACGTGGACCCCCATGGAAATAGGGGTGCTGCTGGTGGTTGGCCATATTCTGCTCCTGCATCCCAGGTCCGCTGGGCCTCTGCTGGCCTTGGTTGTTCATCCCTGACCACATGTTAGGAGGCATGCCCATGCCTGGACGGAAGGCTGGGTAGTTGTGTTGTGGTGGGAGGTCAGGCCCGGGGTAGCGGTTCCCTCCGGGGTGCATGAGGTGGCCGTCGGTGCGCTGGCGGGAAGGGTACATGTTGCCTTCCGACGTGGGGGTGCAGAGGCCCCCAGACTGGAGGGCCACAGGGCGGGGGCCCAGTGAGGGGCCGTGGGTGGGACCCATGTAGGGGTGCTGCTGCTGCTGGTGCTGGGGATGGAGATGCCGGCCATCAGGCCCCACCTGGTATCTAGGGCCAATGTGGTGACCGTCCCCCAGGTGTGGCTGGAATACAAGGACGTCTATCAGTATGTCTGCATAGCAGCAAATATAACCAACTGTGACAGATCAGAAACACACAAAACATTGTTCAGCTTGAGCACACTGTGTGAGCAGAGCAGATAACTGGATAGTTCCTCATCAGATCTGTGAAAACTCCTTGGGATTGTTTTCTTAGCTGATCTCACCTGCATGTTGTAATGTTGAGGCATGTGGTGAGCATTGGGGTCTCCAGGATGGGGCATGTGTCCCTGTCCAGGGTGAGGGTAGGCGTAGCGGGGGTCCATGGCCATCCTCTGGCCATACATGAGTGGACCATGGGGACGCTGGAGCTGCTGCAGAATGGATGGCAGTTCAATATCGCATGTCTAAAATGTCATGCAGTTATCTGTCCTCACCTAAAACGACCCTTTTAACTCTGTTTTTCTCTTCATTCATTACCAACTCTCACTAAAGCAGTAAAACACTATCTCCTATGTGAAATATTGTTTTGACATGCAAGGCCTCCCTTTAAGCCTAAAGAACAGAAAATCAAAGCAGAGTTCCTAGCTACCTGCTGTGCTAGGTGGTAAAGATTCCCAGGGTGGGGTTGTCCATGGGGCATGCCTTGGGGGTGTCTGTTGGCCCAGTGGGGGGGAGGGGCAGGCTGGGCCGCCTTGTTCCCCTCCTCCTCCATGGCGGTGCTGCCCTTGCCCCCTGGATGTGTCCGTTTGCGCGAGGCATGCTCAGTGGCTCGGCTCAAGCGTTCTGGCCCCGCCTGTTTGGGGCCTTTGCTCCGCCTCTTCTCCTTGCGGTCTCTCTCACGGTCCTCACCGCTCACGTGGAACTCCTCGTCCGTGTCACCGTCCTCTGACGGCAAGTGCTTGAGCAGCGCTCGGCTGAAACAGCGCTCCAGGGACTCCGCCATGATGCTGTACTCTGAAGAAAAACACAGACAGGCACACAGGGCTCATTCACCTGGCCAATTAAACACAGACACACACACACAAATATCAGAGTATCCTCTGCATGCCATCGCTAAGACACACCCCAGCGTTGGCCGGCAGGCTGACCAGGCCAGAGGGCCGTGGTGTGGTTGACCCCTGGCCCCCGTGCCTCTCCCTGGGGAGAGCATTCAGACATATGGCTCCAGACAGGGGGTTTAGCTAGGGGCTGGAATGTCTCTCTGGCAGGCAGGCAGGCAGGGCACTGCAGGGCATGGTGCAGTCGAGCACAGCTCAATCACTCCCCATTCATCACTGTCAAATCTGTCAGGGCCAGAGCCACATAACAGCCCAACTCTCCCCCAAAATTCTCTCCTCTACTTAGTCAAATTTATCTATTTCACATTCATAAATCAAGTCCAAAGTCAATCCCAAAAAGCATTTTTCACATGCTAGAGGCATTTGAGGGACATCATGCATCTGACTAAAAAGCATGAGGTTAAGCTCAAGATTAAGAGGTGTGTCTTTACCACTGTCTTCCCCATTGTACTCAATGCAGTTCTCAAACATGAGCTTCACGTCGGACACAAACTCGTCCTTGGCAATGTACTCCCCTTCATTCAGCTTCCTCTCGATGGTGGATAGGTCCATCGGAGTCTGAGGAGAAATCAGGGTTAACAAGAATTGCTACATGTGGAATGGATGACATCAAATTACAATGTGAAATAACTCATAACCGAGGCATCTAACCTTCATTTGACAAAGTCTGGACCAGTCTTTTTCACTGTGAGTTCGCTCACCTGAATGATCTCATTATAGTTGGGGGCATAGGATTCATCCACAGGCTCCAAGAAGGGCCAGGAGTCTTTGTGGGCTTTCAGGGCCTCCAACACTGTGGAGAACAGTTGGAGTCAGAACAGAGGAAACATCCTGGCTCACTGTCCAGAAAAATCTGCAGCAGGTCGATATGCTTTGCACATGCAGATATGATACAATGATGATTGCATAGATGACAGAGCATATTCATTACTTCACCTTTGTACAACGCTGTATAATCATCATCAATTTCATAGCTGCAATAAAAGATAGAACATTTTCAAAACAAATCCACACAGGTTACTCTCCATAAATGATCAGTACTCTAGTGTTGAGTAGTAGTGTGCTCTTACAATGCTTTCGTCCTGCGGGCGCGTCGGATGGGTGAGTGGGGCTCCAGGTGCAGCAGTTCGGGGGGCAGGTCCTTCCCCTGGGATATCAACCAGGCCTTCTCCTCACGCAGCTTCCGCCGCCGCGCTCGCTCTGGGGGACACAACAGAACACAGGAACCACAATGAATTACACACAACAGCATGAGGAATAGTGTGCTAACGCTAGTGGTACTTCCTAGTCTCTTCTTACAGATTCAAGGGCACCTGTTGCCCATCCGGCCATCTGCTGGTTCGCAGAGTCAATAAAAACCAGGCCGAACATCACGAGAGACTGAAGGAGTTCAGAGAAGAGTGATTCATCAACCATCTTTTTGCAGGCATAGCTGATCAAAAGACGAAACAGAGAGGAGCACATATCGCTTTATCTTTCAACATGAAAGGCCGCCCCCTGCTGTGCGGATTAAAAGATGTTGGAGGGTTGAGGCTCCGATCCACCCGAGACCAAGCAGCCCAACCCAGCCGGTCCTGCTGTTCATCTATAATACATTCATGAGGGTTGTTCACCAGTTAATTAACCCTTGACAGATGACATCAGACGGAGGAAGAGACTCCTGTGATTCAAAGGGCTCAACATTCCCACTCACAGCCCAATGCAGTGCAATATACAGATGAAGGATCTTCAAATCAAATCACATTTTATTTGTCACATACGTGTTTAGCAGATGTTATTGCAGGTGTAGCGAAATGCTTGTGCTTCTAGAGTTTGGCTGTCCTTTAGAATCCATCATGTCTTCGATCCCAGAGTTTGTAAGTGTAAGACCCTGAGCCTCACCCAGTCTACCCCTCCCAGCTCCACTACTCACCCTCCACAGCTTTGACTCTCTCCAGCTCCTCTCTCTGGCGCTCCTCCTGCAGCAGCATCTCCTCCTCTCGTCTCTGCTCCGCCAGCAGGGCCTGCCTGTCCATGTCCATATCCCTCTGTTTCTGCTGCTCCACGTCGGCTATGGCCTGCAGCGTGTCCTGGACACACACAGGAAACTATCAGTCCACTGGGTCTCACAGGAGATGGGACATACACTAAGAACCATCTATACACACACACACAGCTAGTCTCACCTCCTCCTCTTGGCTCATGCGTTTCTCAGAGAGCCGGTAAGAGCTGCGTACTGGGGTTGGGTCCAGCAGCCTCTGCTTCTGCTCATTCTCCTGGAGAGGCAAAATAATCAAGATTAAAACACAAATAAGTGGCTTCGTTATTCACACAAAAATCACACGCAGTTGCATTGATCAAGTAACGCTTCCACGGGAGCCAATACCCAGGGAATCCTCTGTGCTCTTCCAGCAGAGCTGTGAGGAGAGAGGGGGGGGGGGGGGGGGTCACATGCCCTCGGGGTGATTCAGGCTCTGTTCCTCCTCCCCCCGACTACCCCAATTTAAACCCCACCAACCGCGCTACCTATCTCCCAGGGTGTCTCTGACTAACCAAACAAATCAAACCCCTCCATGCTCCCCGTGACATTAATAATCAAACGTAACAATTACCACTAAAAGCCAGGGGAGTTCAGGTTGGGCTGTTTCATGTGTGTGTTCTTGCATTTGCAAACAGACCACAGCATTGCCACTTGATGAAAAATCCTATATTGTAGCAATTAGTAAGTAAGTTACATGATTTAATATTTCACAAATGTGTCCATGAGTATCAAAATTGTTCGCAGAATACAACCCGTTAACGTTTATACACAGACTACAACGTGGAAGAAAAAAACAACAGAAGGAAGCCGCAGTCAGAGCGGAATCCTCTGGGCCAGGGAGTATCTATATCTTGGTGCTTCCTGTCAGGGCCTGTGAACACCACCACCCGGCCTACCCCCTTCCCCCTTCTAGAGTTCTGCCTGCCAGCAGCATGTGGACGAGTTCGAGCAAGGCAGCTACCTCCACTGGTGCTTATGACCGCCACCACCACCAGAGGGGCTGTCAAATTGCTGAATGAGCTACAGCTCCCATCCCCCAGTCTTCTCTCTCTGCACCGCAGCACCGGCGTCTCCCGGGGCTCCTCTGCTCTGCATTACCCACAGCACTTAATCCCACACAGGAGATGGACTGCCTCTGGTGTCGCCACTTAAGTGGTCGACAATCCTGCAGCGTAGAGGGCCGTCAATCAAGAGGCTTCTATCCCGCCTCAAGGTGAGCGCCTGCTTCCAGTCAGCGCCCCACCAAATGGCTCTGGACGGGAACTGGAGGGCTCCACGGCTGTGTGAGCTCACGCTACTACACACATACAACCCAGACGCCTGCTCTGTACTGCCAGAGTCTGCACCTGATGGGAAGGGAATGTTCAGCAGCTTGAGAACTGTGAATATGTCCAGATAGATACCAGCCAGGCATGCTGGCCGTGAAGGACAGGTCACCATCGGGTGATCATTTGAGAATGACCCTATGCCGACAGAACGGCCAGAGGGCTTTTGACCGTCACAGACCACAAGGACGGGCAGGCTGTGTTGGGTTTCTATAACAACAGGGCCAGTATGTGTTATCAGACAAGAGGACACTAGGAAATGTTGGACTAGGGATTGCAGCCACCACCAACCAGAATGTGCTCGTCTCGCAACATCTATACTGTCTAACTATGTATACTCAAAGATAAATGAGTACGCAATGTCTTAAAAGGGCAGAGTTTGAACAGTTAAAACACGTCGTCAATCTCTCCCTGAGGGGAGTCTCATTCCCTAGAAGAAAAACGATAAATGAGTGTCCCCAGCCCCGACTGTCATGCCAGCAGCAGCTGCACACAGGGCAACTGGTCCACAGACAGACAGAGAGAGACAGACATGCTTTGGGCCCAAGGCTCAGTAGGGTTTAGAAGCTGATGTTCTGGGCAAGCATAGACCAGTCTGCCTCCACACCTGTAGCCACATCACACAGCCTCCCTCCCAGCCTCCATTTCCCAACGCCTCCTGGAGTCAGTGTCTGAATGAAGAGTGAGTAGAGAAGAGACGAGAGCTGTCTGACCTTGAGCTCGATCATGCTGCTGATCTCAGGGAGGAAGTTCTGGCTGATGATGCGGTAGAGGTGGCGGTCCTGGGGGGACGTTTTGTCCTTGATGCTATCGGCCAGACTGGCCCACTGCTCCTCTGTGTCACACACCAGGGACCAGGCGCCACGCTCACGGTCTGGACGGACGGACAGACACAACATCATGGTCAACATCAATATAATCTCTAGTCAGAAGTAGAAGTCGATCTAAACAGACCATGGTTCTGATAGCTTTGTCTTTTTGCTCACCTGTGCCTGAGTGCAGACCTTCCAGTCCATTCTCCTTCACTTCGCTCTCCACCTCACTGAAACACAACAGGACAGCCCGTTCAGTACTTACCATGCACTCCAAAGCATTGCATGAACAAGGCCTGGGGAACAAAGCTGGTGAATACATTTATTTCTCTGGAGACATTTTGTTTGAGAGTGGAGAGAATGTGAGACCACTAAGGAGAGAGCCTGCTGCTGGTCCTACCTTAACTGGATCTCCTCCACTTTCTTCTTTGGTGGTCTCCCTCTTTTCCTCTTCTCTGCTGGATGGATCTCAGGGGCTTCACTGTGGGACAACAACACCATGAAAAACAAATATCCGCCCACACTTTAAAATTACACAGGCCTTTTACCAGGGTAGCTATTACCGGAGTGACCTGTGTGATTAACCTCTAACAGGCTAGCAAGTACATGTAGTTATGGAGAATTACTTTGTTGGTGCTCACTTTGTCCTTCCTTAGAAAACAGAATTGGCAGTAGGAAGTGCTACTGTTTAAATATTACATAGCTCATTGCGTTACAGAAAATAACAGTATCAGAGAATACATTTATTTTTAAACATGGTATAGACCAGCATAGTGTTCAAATACTGCGACCTCTGTATTGGTGAATTATGGCCAAGAATCAACCATCCGTCTACAGCCGGTGCCCTATGGTGCAACCCTCTTACCGGAGCTGCTCTGCTTTCCTCTTCACCAGCTCCTCTTTGTACATGCGGGTACCATAGAAGTACCAGTAGAGGGTACCGCTCCCATCTTGCCCCAGTGGCTCCACGCGCAGGCTGTCCGCATCCAGGCCCTGGGCTCAAACATGGCATGGATTAATAATGTATATAATTCACTTCATCAGGTTAGATAGCACCAGATGCCAGTCACAATCAATGGTGTCACAATAATTCACCATAACTACAGCTACCAAAAAAAGTGTTTATCCTGTCTTTTTTTGTTACCGTTTTCCCAATGCTAACTCTGAAAGAGTCATAATTGGAGTTAAAACAGGTGTACTCTCTGTGTGTGGGTGTGTGCGCGTAGTACCTTGAGCAGGTCGAAGACATCGGCAGCGTCCAGGCGGTAGTCACACAGCCTGTGCAGCAGCTCCACCTGCGTGCGTGGGGCCAGCTCCTCAAAGGGCCCCTGGCGCAGGGGGTTGGGCTTCCCCTCCTCCAGCTCCCAGCGGTAGTTGATGATGTCGTCCAGGTAACCGCTGAATGCCTGGGGGCTGGGAGGGGGAGAGGAGTGATTAGTCCCATATGTCTTCCCACACCTAGTAAAGCATCGCCATTAAATCTCTCAGAGTCAATGACATGTTAGTATGACAATACAATAGTGAGGAGGGCTGGGTATTAACAAAACCATATTGCGATCTACTGCAGTGAATTTTGTTGGAGCAAACTAGTCAAGGGTTCCTATACAACATTGGATAATTTAGTTGTTTCTAACCCATTCATGTCACATACTCATTAATCTCTTCAACAAGAAGTCCTTCATTCTCAAACGCCTACTGTTCTAATAGTGTCAAAGGTCAAAACTTGGAACATGTGCTTTGTATTGACACCAATCTACGCAATTAAAAGGAACGCTGATTGGGCGATGGTTGGACAGAAATAACAACAATACAACAAATCGCCTTCGAAAAGAGGCCATTGGGATCTGACAATATGGCGCACCGTTATTCACTCACTTGCAAATCCTTGTCCTTAAAGTGTGCTTTGTAAAGCAAGCGTATATAAACGTCTCAATTTCAACAGGCTGTCCATTGTGATAGTCATGAAATAATTCAAGCTGCCATACCGTAGTGGTTCTGAAGGAAAAAGGAAGGTGAAAAGAAAGCCATTTCTTTGCATTTGAGTGGGTTTGTATCATTGTTCTAAGTTGGATGCTGGTAAATAAATGTTGGTTCCGGGTCAGATCTGTCTGAATAATCTGGAACCCTTCAGTTCCTGCTCAGATGCACAGAAACAAGGGCTCAGGGCAGGGGTGAGTGCCGATGCAACGAGAAAAGAAAGGATAAAAAATTGCTTATCTTGAAAGAGCAGTGTGCACTTTCAGACAGCTGCAGGCCCCCCCACTACCCCAGCTCTCTCTCTCGCTCTCCCCCCTCCTCCTCCTCTGCTAACACACCACCACCCCCCTCCCCAGCTCCGCCGGAGCGTTTAATGCGTGTGGATGAAAAGGGCAGCTCTGTGAAAGGCCAGAGCCGAGCAGCCACCCCCGAGATGCCAGTGGCTGTCCAGTCCAATAAGGCCAGTGTGGAAACTGGATCAGTCCTAACCTCCCTCCCGAGTCACAGGCTGACTGGTGCCTGCCCCGGTGGTGCTGATGGAGCAAGAGCAGGGGGCGGCAGGTAGCTTAGTGGTTAAGAGCGTTGTGCCAGTAATCGAAAGGTCGCTGGTTCTAATCCCCAAGCCGACTAGGTGAAAAATCTGTCGATGTGCCCTTGAGCAAGGCACTTAACACTCATTGCTCCTGTAAGTCGCTCTGGATAAGAGCGTCTGCTAAATGACTAAAATGTCAATTTATCAACAGTGCGTAAATGTCTTACTCAATTCTGGTGTACGCAGAGATTCTAGGATTTGCATGCGCCACAAATTATTGGGATTTATCAAACTGTCACACGCAACATATACACATGTTTTCATTGATAAATCAGAGCCATATTTGTGCGGTGGTGAACGAGCAGTACAACCCTATCTGGAAAACACCCTACAATCACCTTTTATGATAACAAAAACACCCTCATTTTCTATATGACTTGGAAATGTTGGAACTGGGCCATGAGCTCCTAAAAGAAAGTGCACTGCCAAATTTGATCACATTTCTGTAGAGGTGTGGGCAGAATGTTAGTGACTTTTCCAAATAAAAAAATGCATGCCGCCTAGCGAGTGCCAAACACTGGCCGCTCATTCTGCCAAGACTGATTGTCCTTTCGAACAATTTAAAAGTAAATGCTACAGCCCACACAGCTATGCAAAATACAAATTGTTGTTCAATATTTTGTTTATCAATACATGATTGTGTTTCTATTAGCCTACCACTATTACAATTCCTGAGCAAACACCTCCAATTTCCCCCAAACAAACAATAAGCCTATTTGCTTGCAATACAGTTGATCAACCTTCTAGAAGTTGTGTGCATGCATGGCTTGAGATTTCCGTGAAGATATGCACACTTTCTCGTTAAGCAAAACATTTATTAATACCAACCTTTGTGGGAAAACTGGCGCACGCAAGGTTGAGTATTTTTTGAGCGCACGCACCTTTGATCAATGAGGCCCCAGAAGAGGTGGTGGTAGTGGTAGTGGGTGGGGACCCCTTCAGGACTGGAACATTCATTTTACTTTCCTGTGCTCTTCCCACTCTCTATCTCTCACACTTACACATCAAAGGAACTGACCCCCCCAGGGAAAAATCCTCCTAACCCTAGTTTCCTTTGTGAGAACTCTCACTCAGTTGCAAAGGCTGATTTCAACACAAGCTGTGCACATTCTGATGTGCTCACTACTAACAGGGTTTGTGACTCAAACTTCCTGTGTTTCACTGTGTGCTGGCCCATACGGGCCCCTGGATGTTGTCACCAAGATGGGGAAGATAACGCAACGTTGGTCTGTTATAAGGAAGGTAAATGCAGTGTGTGCTAGTGAGCTAAAAAGGTAGACCTAGTCAATATTTAACTAATAAAAATTTAATAAAGGATGTGGGAAGGCCGGGGGTACTACTTACGTGATGTCTGTGCGCTGGTAGCATCCTTGCAGCAGTGAGACGAGGAGGTCAGCCAGAAAGTCTATGTCCTGCTTCTGTAGCGCCTCTTCCAGCTCCTACCACACAGAGACACACACAGCAGGGGGAAGAGGTCAGCCTTTGAGCTATATGGAGATCCTCTTTTTAAGGCACATAAAAATATTTGTTTTAAAGTCTGCATATTTTACATTTTAGTCATTTAGCAGACGCTCTTATCCAGAGCGACTTACAGGAGCAATTAGGGTTAAGTGCCTTGCTCAAGGGCACAGACAGATATTTTTTTTTTTAGAACCAGCGACCTTTCGGTTACTGGCACAACGCTCTTAACCACTAAGCTACCTGCTGCCCATATAACATTTTATGGTTGGTATTCGTCACAGGTTGGTGCGGTAAAAAAAAAGCTGAGATTCCAAAGTGATATGGATGTCCTGGAGTAAAACGGTAGGAGGTGATGGGAATTTAGGGTTTCCAAGCCACAGTGACATTTTCAATGAAACAGAAGTTCTCGTAGCAAAACTTGGTTGAAGTGTGGATATTGGAACTAGTAACTTATATTGTGAGAGCCATAGGGGACCAGAATTACGGGCAGTATTTCACCTCTAGCGTCTAACACGCTTGATCGTGACAAACAACCATACTAGGTAGGCTGTGTGTGGGGACTTGTTTATGTGATTGAGTTGCTGTGGGGAGGGGGGACTAGCTCACATGTTCTCAGAGGAGTCCTTTTTGCCAGCGGTTGGAGGAGAGGTTCAAGTTCAAACCTGACCCCTCTCCTGCCTGGCATTGTGTGGTGCCATTGAGGGTTTATGAAGCGGCAGTAACCGGGAGAGCAAACTCTAAAGGCCCTGAAAGAGCCAAGGAGACACAGCAGCAGGAGCCTAAGGCCTGCGCACAGACCCGCCCCCCCGCTCCTCCGCTGATCAACCGGGCCACAGCGCCCCACACTGCCTCACACCGTTACCCAGCATGCTTTGCTCTCTCCCCAGGATACCCAAAGGCCCTCAGCTACAGAGCAGAGGCTGGGCAGAGACAAGGGAGGCTGAGAGGGCGAAAAATGCTAATGCAAAGTGCTCTATCAGCCAAGTGTCCATTTCACTTATCCTTTCTTCCCACTTTCCCAGGATGCAAAGCGACCCTTCTGCATTGGCCATTCCCCTTTAAAAAGTAAATCGGCCTGCAGCTGACTGCCACACCATGCCCTTCTGTCTCGATCTACAGTACCCACTTCCAAATTCTCTGCATTAAACACATCTCCCCTCCACCACCAACAACAAACCTCCCCAAAGAAAAAGCATGGTGACAGTCCAGAATTAACTGAAGGGCGAGGAGGCCCGTTTCATTGTGCAGCTTGCTGCCTCTCTCTAGAGAAAAACGTCTGAGTGCCGGGTCACTGGGGGGGGGGGGTCAGCCTCCACACCTCCTGGCTGTGGAGAGGCAAGGAAGCTAGGAGTCAGTCAGCAGGATGAAAAATCATCAGATAGCTACTCCGAAACATGCCAGAGGAGCTGGCTGGGCTGATTCTTTATCTCCAAGTCCTATTATTCAAAATGCAGAGTTCATTAAGCTTCTTGAGCACATTTCAATTACCAATTAAAAAACCTATTGATCAATCTCCTCATGTTGTAAAATTTGACAGGTTAGACAATATGAAGAGCCTGGGAGGAGGGAAGCTCACAACCCTGGGAGGGCCTGGAACTGGGGGGACAGAAACGACAATAACATGGCTAGCTACCAGTAACGCTGAGCGATTGTTTTTTTAAGCCGTTTCAGTTTTGGTTCGATTCTAAAAAAATAAAAATCTTGGGTTTTGATTTGAGTTTCGAAAGAAAAAAAAAAGAAAACATTAAAATGCATTATGAAACAATTACATTTGAGTTTAATTGACATTCCAAAGCCAAAAAGAGTGAAAATGTAATTGCCAAAACATTGAAAATATTCCATTGTCTCTGTCAGGTCCACATTGTGTAGACATCAATAGAAAAATAAAAAAGGACTATGAAATAATCAAATATGTCAGTTGTGTATATAACAGTTTTTATTTGATGACTTCACAATTTTTCATTCCTTAAAGTCATCTTCACATCTCTGCTCAGGCAGTAGCAGCCAGCCAGACAGACAATATTATCTCTGTGCAGTCTTCAGTCATCCTATTTAGCTAGGCTAACCTGCCTAAGTATGCTGCAGAGCTGTCTGACAATCATTTTACTAGTTCTTCAAAGTATATAAGACATACTTTCACGAACTGTCTATCCCGCGCTCTCCCCGTTGTGTACATTCCTCTCTCATGCGGTCTGTGTGTATCGAACCTAACGTAGCAGGCGTAAAAAAGTGTATCCATCTCTGTCCGGGACGGAAAGAACAGGTGCAATGGATTATGGTCATTGTAGTTCATTACCATGTTTCTGCGCTGAACTATACTGAAGAAAAATATAAAACGCAACATGCAACAATTTAAGATTGTACTGAGTTACAGTTCATATAAAGGAAATCAGTCAATTGAAATAAATTCATTAGGCCCTAATCTATGGATTTCACATGATTGGTCCCCACAAAAGGGCTTTATTACAGACAGAAATACTCCTCAGCACCCCCTCTCCCTCAGACGATCCCGCGGGTGAAGAAGCCGGATGTGGAGGTCCTGGGCTGGCGTGGTTCCAAGTGGTCTGCGGTTGTGAGGCCGGCTGGACGTACTGCCAAATTCTCTAAAACGACGTTGGAGGCAGCTTATGGTAGAGAAATTAACATGCAAGCCTCTGGCAACAGCTCTGGTGGACATTCCTGCAGTCAGCGTGCCAATTTCACGCTCCCTCAAAATTTGAGACATCGGTGGCATTGTGTTGTGTAACAAAACTGCACAATTTAAAAGTGGCCTTTTATTGTCTCCAGCACAAGGTGCACCTGTGTAATGATCATGGTGCTTAATCAGCTTTTTGATATGCCACACCTGTCAAGTGGATGGATTATCTTGGAAAATGAGAAATGATCACTAATAGGTATGTAAACAAATTTGTGCACAGAATGAGAGAAATAAGCTTTGTGCGTATGGAACATTTCTGGGATTTTTTTATTTCAGCTCATTAAACATGGGACCAACACTTTGAAAACTACAACTCCCTTCAGCCCAGTGTCCCACATAGCTCTTGCCTTGATTTCTCTCGTAAATTATATGATCTCTCTAGAGAAAACGATGCGTTGGGCTCACAAAAGAAACTAAATGGAATTCAAGTAATTGAACAGACATCGGTCAATTAGTTGTTTAATAACTGAAACAGCCATGGGCAAATAGAAAAATATCCAGTTTTATAGCTAATCTCATGCTATTCTACACATTTTTCAATGAGGCTGAGAGAATTCTGCATTTTTAAAGCTAAATTCCTTCATCTCTACATGTGCCCCGTTTCAGGAATCTAGGCGTATGTCGCACGTCACTACTTCACAGGAGAGGCATTGAAAGGAGGGGTTTCTTATTTGTCTGAAAGCAATGGCTAGCTAGTATGCTAACTATTCTAGCTAACTAACTGGCTGAATAAGTTGACGACGGACTCGCTCAAGATGTCGGGACTAACCCACAACGTTAGACACGGACACGAACGATCTGCTTGGCGTGTTGACACACTGGTGGTTTGTTGTGGCCGAGTATTGGTGCTAAACCGTGTTGTTGGAGTCCGGCATGCTAGCTGGCTGTGGCGTCTTATGACTAGGTGCCCTGGACGATTTTCACGGAAGAATACTGTACCTAGTTAGCTAGCTGAATAAACTAAGTTAGTCTATTCCTAGAAAACATTGAACCGCTGTAGTTCACAACAATTATAGTTTCTGAGGTGGAAGTTGGGAGAGTTATATTTGGGTGTTGTGGTGAGGGAGGCCCCGCTCTCTCCTTTCCCAGATGTTTAGTTCATTTCATTCCGATCTCCTTTGCATTATTGTAGCCATTTTCTGCAGCCTGTCAACTATGCCTCTGTCTATCCCTGTTCTCTCCTCTCCGCACAGGCTATACAAACGCCTCACACCGCGTGGCTGCTGCCTCTCTAACCTGGTGGTCCCTGCACGCACCACCCACGTGGAGTTCCAGGTCTCAGGCAGCCTCTGGAACTGCCGTTCTGCTGCCAACAAGGCAGAGTTCATCTCAGCCTATGCTACCCTCCAGTCCCTCGACTTCATGGCGCTGACGGAAACATGGATTACCACTGAAAACACTGCTACTCCTACTGCTCTCTCCTCATCTGACCATGTGTTCTCACATACCCCGAGAGCATCTGGTCAGCAGGGTGGTGGCACAGGAATCCTCATCTCTCCCAAATGGACATTCTCTATTTTTCCCCTGACCCATCTGTCTATCTCCTCATTTGAATTACATGCTGTCACAGTCACTAGCCCATTTAAGCTTAATATCCTTGTCATCTATCGCCCTCCAGGTTCCCTTGGAGAGTTCATCAATGAGCTTGACGCCTTGATAAGTTCCTTTCCTGAGGATGGCTCACCCCTCACAGTTCTGGGGGATTTCAACCTCCCTACGTCTACCTTTGACTCATTTCTCTCTGCCTCCTTCTTTCCACTCCTCTCCTCTTTTGACCTCACCCTCTCACCGTCCCCCCCTACTCACAAGGCAGGCAATACGCTTGACCTCATCTTTACTAGATGCTGTTCTTCTACTAATCTCACTGCAACTCCCCTCCATGTCTCCGACCACTACTTTGTATCCTTTTCTCTCTCGCTCTCCTCCAACACTACTCACTCTGCCCCTACTCAGATGCTAATGTGCCGTCGCAACCTTCGCTCTCTCTCTCCCCCGCTACTCTCTCCTCTTCCATCCTATCATTTCTTCCCTCTGCTCAATCCTTCTCCCTCCAATCTCCTGATTCTGCCTCCTCAACCCTCCTCTCCTCCCTTTCTGCATCCTTTGACTCTCTATGTCCCCTATCCTCCCGGCCGGCTCGGTCCTCCCCTCCAGCTCCGTGGCTTGATGACTCATTGCGAGCTCACAGAACAGGGCTCCGGGCAGCCGAGCGGAAATGGAGGAAAACTAGACTCCCTGCGGACCTGGCATCTTTTCACTCCCTCCTCTCTACATTTTCTTCATCTGTTTCTGCTGCTAAGGCCACTTTCTACCACTCTAAATTCCAAGCATCTGCCTCTAACCCTAGGAAGCTCTTTGCCACCTTCTCCTCCCTGCTGAATCCCCCCCCCCCCTCCCCTCCCCTCCCCTCTCTGTGGATGACTTCGTCAACCATTTTGAAAAGAAGGTTGACGACATCCGATCCTCGTTTGTTAAGTCAAATGACACTGCTGGTCCTGCTCACACTGCCCTACCCTATGCTTTGACTTCTTTCTCCCCTCTCTCTCCAGATAAAATCTTGCGACGGCCGGCCGCCCAACAACCTGCCCGCTTGACCCTATCCCCTCCTCTCTTCTCCAGACCATCTCCGGTGACCTTCTCCCTTACCTCGCTGATCAACTCATCCTTGACCGCTGGCTATGTCCCTTCCGTCTTCAAGAGAGCGAGAGTTGCACCCCTTCTCAAAAAAACAACACTCGATCCCTCTGATGTCAACAACTACAGACCAGTATCCCTTCTTTCTTTTCTCTCCAAAACTATTGAGCGTGCCGTCTTTAGCCAACTCTCTTGCTATCTCTCTCAGAATGCCCTTCTTGATTCAAACCAGTCAGGTTTCAAGACTGGTCATTCAACGGAGACTGCTCTTCTCTGTGTCACAGAGGCTCTCCGCACTGCTAAAGCTAACTCTCTCTCCTCTGCTCTTGTCCTTCTAGACCTGTCTGCTGCCTTCTAGACCTGTCTGCTGCCTTTGATACTGTGAACCATCAGATCCTCCTCTCCACCCTCTCCGAGCTGGGCAATCCAAGAGTGAGCCGCGCCGGAGATGCCCAGCGTGGCTCACTCTTGGATTGCGTCCTACCTGACCGGTCGCTCCTACCAAGTGGCGTGGCGAGAAGCTGTCTCCGCACCACGTGCTCTCACCACTGGTGTCCCCCAGGGCTCAGTTCTAGGCCCTCTCCTATTCTCGCTATACACCAAGTCCCTTGGCTCTGTCATATCCTCACATGGCCTCTCCTATCATTGCTACGCAGACGACACACAACTAATCTTCTCCTTTCCCCCTTCTGATAACCAGGTGGCGAATCGCATCTCTACATGTCTGGCAGACATATCAGTATGGATGACGGATCACCACCTCAAGCTGAACCTTGGCAAGACGGAGCTGCTCTTCCTCCCAGGGAAGGACTGCCCGTTCCATGATCTCGCCATCACGGTTGACAACTCCATTGTGTCCTCCTCCCAGAGTGCGAAGAGCCTTGGCGTGACCCTGGACAACACCCTGTCGTTCTCTGCTAACATCAAGGCGGTGACCCAATCCTGTAGGTTCATGCTCTACAACATTCGGAGAGTACGACCCTGCCTTACACAGGAAGCGACACAGGTCCTAATCCAGGCACTTGTCATCTCCCGTCTGGATTACTGCAACTCGCTGTTGGCTGGGCTCCCTGCCTGTGCCATTAAACCCCTACAACTCATCCAGAATGCCGCAGCCCGTCTGGTGTTCAACCTTCCCAAGTTCTCTCACGTCACCCCGCTCCTCCGCACACTACACTGGCTTCCAGTTGAAGCTCGCATCTGCTACAAGACCATGGTGCTTGCCTACGGAGCTGTGAGGGGAACAGCACCTCCGTACCTTCAGGCTCTGATCAGTCCCTACACCCAAACGAGGGCTTGCGTTCATCCACCTCTGGCCTGCTGGCTCCCCTACCTCTGCTGAAGCACAGTTCCCGCTCAGCCCAGTCAAAACTGTTCACTGCTCTGGCACCCCAATGGTGGAACAAGCTCCCTCACGACGCCAGGACAGCGGAGTCACTCACCACCTTCCGGAGACATTTGAAACCCCACCTCTTTAAGGAACACCTGGGATAGGATAAAGTAATCCTTCTACCCCCCCCCCAAAAAAGACTCTTTGACTCTGAAAATGAATCATATGATGAGGAAATCGCTGACTTAGCTAGGTAAAACGTTAAAGCCATTGAACCAGACATTGTAGCGTCTTCTGATCACAGTGAAGGGGACGAAATGGAGATCATCAGTGTTGTCACGGAAGAAGTTGACAGAGTTTTGAAATCAACCATGGCATCCCTGACTGAGAGGGAGAACGATCTGATGATTATGGGATTGAACACTGTCAGTTTGAACCGGAGTGACTTGACAAGCTGTACAAAACGCAAACGAGAGGACATTTTCAGATCTTACGTTTCAAATTTGGTAAAAAAGTCATTTTCATTGCAAGTTAAAGCCTACTGTTAGCTAGCTAATGTTAGCTCCCTAGTTAGCTAGCTACGTGTATGATCTGTGTAGTAATATCATTCATATCTCAAAGCCATTTGCATTGCTAGTTATAGCCTACTGTTAGCTAGATACCATTGAACCTAGTTGGTTAGCTTTAGCTACCTGCAGATTCATACTACATCATCTCATGCATGGTGGCTAGCTATGACAATCCGTTTGTATTGCAATACTGTATGGGTTGGAATTATGGTTCATTGTTTAGTTAGCTAGATTTCTAAACAAAAGACTCCACTTTGTCAGACGATTACATGACCCATCAATTTAGCCAGGTGTCTGGGGGTGATTAGGGTCATCTATTGTATTTCATGTACATGACAATAGACCCAGCCACTTAGCCAGATGTGGTTATAGCCTCTCTTTTACATGGCCCATCTAATTAGCCAGGTGTGTCTGGGGGTGATTACAGACACAGTCTACCTCATCTATCACCAGTATAACTGCCATCATTATTGGTTTTGTTATTGTACATACACTGTTTAGTACATGGCCTCACATGTGAATCAAAGAGATGGGTGGGCCTAAGGCTTAAGAGGGTGTGAACGATGCTGAACAGGTGTAAACAAAAAAAGAGCTCTAGTAGGTGTACCAAAACATTCAAGGGACATTTTCTCAAAAGTGGGGTAACAAGTTTATCAACTTTCAAAGCAGCATTACTTTCGCATTGTTCCTCAACTAGTGCATGATATACCATTTTGAAGCTCCGAGTCTGTACTGTTATCCACTATAAAAAACACAATTTCAAATTTTGGAGCGAAAGACCGAAAAGAGATGGTGGGTCACAATTATGCATTTCTGTGTAGTACAGATCAGGGACCCATGATGAAATGTCTTTACCAGGTGTAAATCCACTTCACTTAATGCAGTTCAGTATCCCAAATATATTTTTTCAAAGTCAATGTGTCGCGTCATAGCTGACACCCTATTCTTTCTGCAGACATCGTTGAATCTTAATTCAGAGCTGAAGGTTTTGGAAAACGTGGACACAGAGATTATACCGAAATTCTGTTACCAAACTTTGCATCTGCACAGTTCTTCCAGCAAATGTGTGTTTGTAAAATGTTCAGTGTGAATGGTTAAAAGTAGTCCTTGTGCATAGAGTTGTAAGGTTTGTTCAACTTTGACAAATCTAAATTGATTTTGTTTGGCATACATTTTAAGTGAACAAATCTGAGTCAGCGCAATTCCGTTCCCGTGGAATTACCCTATCTAGCTAGCCTCAGTGCTATGCCTATGATTTTAGTTCTGTCTTAGAACATGGGGCTCTTTCAACAGCTACGCTCAGTGTTATGATAGCACATGTAGGATAACAAAAACGTATCTGTGTGTGTAGCCTTGGAAAAGAGAGAGGGAGTATGAGTGTGTAGGCTTGTTGTGAATGTAAGTCTGTGTCCATGTGTGTACTTTAGGTTATCATGGAGGACTTTTGGTTCTGATCTGGTCTCCCCCCTTCCCTCCGTCGACATAGGGACACTGAGATCTTGTGTCACGCTCCTTGGCACTTCCTGGTCCCATGACAGCCAGCCCCTGGGCCCCATCTATCAGTGGCAGACTGCACTTTGATCACACTTCAAACCTGGGGCCGTCCGTGGTAGCCGGGGTCCAGCCCAGCAGAGCAGCCCTGGATTAACACCACCCCGCTCCACCTTTGAAGTGCCACTCGGCAGCTCAGACGCAGCTCAGATGGCAAAAGGAAAGGGAATTAGTGTGGGGTGTGTGTCCTTTCTTCAGCACGACGGAGATCCTCTGTGGGCTCACCGTTAATCAAGCCCAGTGTGTGTTAAGGGCCGTGATGAGGGACACTCACTGCAGCTCTCCTGCAAGGAGCTCAAACTGCCGGGATCAAACACACGGCGAGGACACACCCTGCACCCCAAGGCACACACAGGAACTACTCACACTAGGTCAACCCGATGACCTGCACATGGTACAGATAGAACATCGATAAGACAGATATGCCTGTCCATCTTTGTCAACAGTCCAAATCAAAGTGTTGATAGAGGGTTGACAGACATCACCAAGGCACTAAAACTTGACAAAGCAGCCTGGTAAACACTCCTCACGTGAGTAAAATGCTTGAAGGATGATTGGAGGGTGAGTCAATGCTAAGTCAAAGGTGTGTCACATCCTCTAAAGCGCACTTTCACCCCCTTCAGCGGATGTGTCAGTGGCTCTGCTGTAGCTTGCTAGGGTAGGGTAGCTGGCAAGGATCACTATCAGTGTATGTGTGCGCGCTATGCCTCAGGTGTCACTTGCAACATCACACCTGGAATACAGGGTCAGAGGTTGGCTTCTGGCATTCTGACTCACAGCAGAGGAACCCTAAGCTCTGCCATGAGCAAATCACTGGTGTCAAAACTGCCATACTTATATGGGATTGGCCCATTGTTGACTGAAAATATGTCCTGTGTTACACATAATGTGTAACACAGGACATATTTTTGGTCAAAGATGGGCCAATCCCATTCAAAGGAATGGACTTCAGTTGTGTGCTGCCACGAGCCTCTTGCGTCAGAGAGAAAAACACCCACACGATTCACAAACATTTGCTGATGATTACGTAAACAGAGCCTCTGTGGTGGGTTAACACAGCAGGTTGGTTGAATGTGTGCACAAAGGTCCCAGAGCTCCTCGCTCCGCAGGCCGACAGATACCCCAGGTAGAGCCAGGGAGGCCCGGTGTCAAAGGCCACTGCCATTTAGAGCCCCTGCTGGGGCTGATCATTCGCCATAGGGCCACGCCACAGAGAAAACAGAACACATGCTCACTCAGTGACCCTACAAGACAGTCTCAGCAACAGAAGGGTCTGAGGAGACAGGCGGGTGCATTTGAAGATAAAAGAAACACGCCCAGTTCTCCCAATCAATGCTCGTGTACCAACGACAACGTGTGGCCTAGTGTGATAAGCCCTGCCACTGGGGCTGTATCTGACGGCTCCAGCAGACCCAGAGAGGACATGGTATCAGGGCTGGCTTCTCTCTGCAGAGCCTCACTGCAGATGATTTTTCATGCAAATGCCGTTAACAGCTCCAGGAGGGGTTCAAGCAGGCAGTTAGAGGAGGGACGGGGTTGGGAGGCCTGCCTTTGTTGTGTGAAGGCTATTCTCACTTACCTCCCCCACTCCTCCTCTTACATGGCTCCTTCAGGAGCCATCAACTGACAACACTCAGACCTCCCCTCCCACACGACACGTAGCAAGGCACACACCATAACAACACAGGAAGACGCCCTACATCCTCAGGATGTGCCATGCATTTGTTCCGGAGAGCAATGAGATATGTCTCATACCTGACCTTGAGAAGAACCAAAAGATAGATAAACAAGATGGATGCCTGCATACCACCTATCTGGATGCATAATGAGTTGGTTGGAGCTCTGGTGATAGGTCCGCCCATCTCGCGCTTGCTGCTGTGAAACCCCGGAGCAACGTTCGGACACATTCAAAACATGATGGCCTCCGTGCTACCTAGCCATGGTCTCCATTTGGCCCCTGAAAACAACAACCCGACAAAACTGTTTACATGGGAATCATCTTTATTTTATGCATTAGGATCCCCATTAGCCGACACCAAAGGCAGCAGCTAGTAAAGGACCCATCTTCTACCACTTTGCCATGGGGAATCTACAGCGTCATACAACACATAGGGAAAACAAGGAGGTACACACATAGCAAACTGCTGATTCCCATGATCATTCAAGTAGGAGCTCCGGCTGAGTTTCATTGCAGTCTCAATGTCAGGGCCAGTTGGCCAGGTGTGACAGTTGGCTGTGCTGGGGAGGGGAGTGAGGGGGCTGGGCTGGGGAGACTGAAGTTGGACAGATCTTTCCCGGGCTGAGCTTACTGCCGTGCAGAAAGCAGAGCCCCCTGGGTGAGGATCATTAAGCACAGGAGATGGGAGGCCAGCACCAGCAGTCTCATTCCTCCACAGCCACACGGGTAAACACTTCAACTTCCTCTCAGAACTGGAGTTTCCTGCTTTACGCTGACAACCCAAAAGGTCTAATTTCCCACATCCTACACACACATTTAGCCTGCTGGCCCTACAGAGGAAAAAACTGTTTGACCAATGTGGTGGGAGCTATCCGGGATCCTTGGGACGTCCAACTGACGTCACCACATTGAAGTTGAAATTTTAAATGGTTAAGGTAGGGACGTCCCAAGGATACCTGATAGCAATAACAGAGTGAGCAATGGCCTGGGGAAAACAACACGAGGCAGATGGGAGAGCAGGGGTAGGACTAGAAGTGCAGCAACATGAGTATGGCACAGAGAACGCACAACAGCAGTGAGACAACAGAACGGTGAGACAGGAGAGCGGGAATGAGAGAGGAGCAACAGGTGAAACTAAAAACAACAGTACAGCAAAACTTGCATAAGGAACATCATGTAGCCTACTAAAGAAAGACAGGGGAACACTGACTATTCAAACATATCACAGAGAAAGGCATGCTTGACAGAACCATTTCGAACAGCCCTTTACAAAACAGGTGATAAGTACTCCAACTAACAACTGCTCCTAAGACCAAGAAGTGTATCTGACTGAGTCTTTGTTTCAGGCTGTTCTGACTACAGCCTCTAAGCACCCGAGCTTGTGCCCATCTACACCATCCTCCACCCTTAGCCTCAGGTCCCACATGTATCACCCAATCTGCGCCTCCCTCCCACACACACAGCAACCCCCCCCTCTCCCAGTCTCTGAGTCTGTGGGGTGACACTCCCGCTGGTTAATGCACCCCCCAACACAAACTCCCCTCCCCCGTTGTCTTGAGGGAGGAAATGCATTGCACACCCTGCCGAAAAATGCTCCGAACACCATATTTCCCATCCCGCTCTTACCTGCTCAATGTGTGATGTTGCATCACACTGTATTGAGACTGGGATGTAAACACGTCAGCCAGCCGCACTAAATACATATGAGTTAGGCTTAGGTTGTTAGCTGGCTTTCAAGGAATCCCCCTAGACAAGACCTGATTCGCAGAAGCTCATAAGTAAATTTACCCTCTACTCTGTTCGTTCTTCTCTACAAGCCAATAACAAGGGGAGCCCTTGAAAGAGCAGGCAGTGAGGGTAGAGGCCGCCCCAGACTGGAGACAGAGAGAGGGAGCCATGGGGAGCAGCAACAATAGAGTTGGCTGAAACAAACCCCAGTGTACGTGCCCCTCACCCCCCAACTCCCCATGTGAAACCATCTGATGCATGTACTGCTGCTCCACTTGTCAATCACAGCTGGGGGAGGGGAGTCGGCTCTTACAATGTGCCTGGGTATGGTTGTTAGAGAGACATAGTGCATGTGAAGGACTAAGAATGTGTGTATAAGTGTGTGTATTAATGAGGGATCCACATCCTTGAGGGGTTACAGCAGGGTGTGAAAAGGATTGGGCTTGGAGTTAGCCGACACGGCGATGTGAGGGTCACATGTGTGGCACTTTGAGAGGATGAGCCGTGGTGGGTTGTGCTGGGAGAGTGTGTGGTGTGTAGCGCAGCAGAGCTAAGGGAGAACTCCGGGGTGGAGGATTCAGCCAATATAGTAGGATAAAACAAACTGGGCTGATGAAAGGCTCATTGTTGTTGTGTGTGTGGGGGGTCCTTTCTCCTTTTGGGGCTGACAAAAGAGCTGTGCAGGCCAGGGTTAAAAGGTAAAGATATTCAGGATGAACGCAGCAACCACTGATCCTTTTCAAGACGCAGCGTTGCGCTGGCTGCAACATGGCCCGCTGACCCTTCCTTTATTGACAGCGCAGATCCCACAGCCAACGTTCACTTCCTCCCAAAAACCCCAGAAGTTCCGCTGAGGACGGCCCCTCTCAGATCAATGCCCTCAATTCAACCCAGACTCCAGCAGCACGCTTTAGCTAAATCCTGCTATCTTCAACATATAATCCACACACTGAATTAGCGGGTACCAGAGGGCCCTGTCTAAACTTGGGGAACGTCACAAACCACTATAGATCCTTCTCCCTAATCCATTTGCGTTTAGACAAGAGGCCTTGCTCACTCAGCTCCCTGCTCTGCCAGATCTAATAGGACTAAATCTTATTTTACAATCAGGCGCAGGCCTGGGAAGAATAGAAGCCCCCCCCCAGTCCAGACAGGCTGCAGCAGGCAGCAGCACCCAGTCAGCAGCACCTCCACCCTCCAGGGGAAGGCAAAGAAAGAGCCACCATCTGGGATTTAGTCATGGTGATGCCAGGGCTGGAGTTGCACCGCTCTGGGGGCTGGATGAATAAAGGCTATTCAGCACTTGCACACTGAACATCACAGCCCAAGTTGGGTGGGGAGACACCCTGAGAACGAGAAGAGGGCTGGTGTTCACAGGGACGTGATGAGCAATCAGTACAATATGGCGGCGGGAGTTGGAAGTCATTGGAGTGAAATACTTTCAATGGCTTCACGACAATAAGCAACATCCTAGGTTCCCTGTTCATTTCAGTTTGTTGAGAACTGCCAGGTCAAGTGCTGAGGGCTCTTCTCTACAGTAGGTAGGTTGGCTCCATAGGGACCAGGACCTGTTTCAGTAGGTAGGTTGGCTCCATAGCGACCAGGACCTGTTTCAGTAGGTAGGTTGGCTCCATAGCGACCAGGACCTGTTTCAGTAGGTAGGTTGGCTCCATAGCGACCAGGACCTGTTTCAGTAGGTAGGTTGGCTCCATAGCGACCAGGGCCTGTTTCAGTAGGTAGGTTGGCTCCATAGCGACCAGGACCTGTTTCAGTAGGTAGGTTGGCTCCATAGCGACCAGGACCTGTTTCAGTAGGTAGGTTGGCTCCATAGGGACCAGGACCTGTTTCAGTAGGTAGGTTGGCTCCATAGCAACCAGGACCTGTTTCAGTAGGTAGGTTGGCTCCATAGCGACCAGGACCTGTTTCAGTAGGTAGGTTGGCTCCATAGGGACCAGGGCCTGTTTCTGTAGGTAGGTTGGCTCCATAGGGACCAGGGCCTGTTTCAGTAGGTAGGTTGGCTCCATAGCGACCAGGACCTGTTTCAGTGTATCATCAGTGCAGATCGCAGCAGCCAAAGCAGACAGATTTCCATTACATCCGCATCCAGCCCTGCAGACCGGCTTCGTCAGCCCAGCTCTTAAAATGGATTCACCCTCAACGCAAATTAGTACCCGGCCATCATCCCTCTGCCTGTCTTAAGTTTAATAAACGGCCGCAGAAAGAGGCCAATTTCCCTGCCGCTCTCCAGATAACATCAGACAGCTGATGAAGATGTATGGAATCAGACACGCTGTACCAAACACCAGCACAACACACATATTTCAAGTAGAATGTTAGGCTCAGGCTGGCAGAGACTGGCAGTACTGGTGGTGGAGGGCACATCCTGGAGGATCCGGAGGAGGCTCGGAGTTCCAGGAGGCTCTGGGATTTCAGGGCTCATTTCACAGCCACACTGCCAGGAAATCAAGCGTGCCTCCATTGAGACAAAGAAGCAGGGGGACGGCCAGGTCGGCTGGGGCCTCTTCCTGCAGAGCCCCTCTCCCTCCGGCCAGGGGAGACTGGGAGCAACAGTGAAGTGTAACATGGGAACAATGTGCAAGGAGCCGTTGTGTGAGCTTGCCAAGAAAATCTCCATTATCACCCAGCGGAACCGCGGCCCGAAAAAGAAAAAAGCTGCTCAACAACACCACCTTCCCACTGGATCACTGGGTTTGTTAATATCCAGTTGGTAGCGGTTTCACAAGTTAAAAAAGTTAGGCTCTGTGGCATTCATAAACGGGCTCCTGAAAAAAGCCACAGTGAATTCTGTCCACTGAGCCATTCCCTCCATCCTGAGCGCTCGTTACCAACTGAGCTTTATGACCAAGAGACAAGATATTAGACCCTTGTAGAGCTAAAGCAAAAGGCGTAAAATGCATTCTTCAAGTCAATCATTACATGTTTGCCTCTCTCACATGCTGATAATTTCCTCTGCAGAGATGACACTGGTAACAAATAAAACTGTTATTTATACCCTCTCTACACAAGAAGTGCATTACTCATAGAGGCTAGCATACCCTTTCCTCCCATCTTCCAATTCTGCCACCAGAGGACAAAACCAGAATAGAAGATTAACAAGAGCCAATGAATGTGTTAGGGACAGCTGGTTGAAGCTCTCAGTGGCCACAATGTCCGTCCAGTGTTAGGGCTCCCGAGTGGCGCAGTGATCTAAGGCACTGCATCTCAGTGCTTGAGGCGTCACTACAGACCCCCTGGTTCGATTCCAGGCTGTATCATAACCGGCCGTGATTGGGAGTCCCATACGGCGGCGCACAATTGGCCCAGCATCGTCCGGGTTTGGCCGGTGTAGGCCGTCATTGTAAATAAGAATTTGTTCTTAACTGACTTGCCTAGTTAAATAAAAGGTTAAAGAAAAAAAGAAAAAGAAAAAAGAGAATGGGGAAGACAGAACACCAGCCTCCCTGAGACATGCATCGCTCTGTGTCCACAATGGGAGAGAATGTCATGGAATGTTGACACTGAGACCAAGGCTCAAATCAAATCACCTGGACGCTCGATACCAGAGGAAAGACCATTCTGTCAGGGGAATGACAGCCACTTCCTTCCTGCCCGACTCTTAAGTAACCAAACTAAATGCTCACAGATAGCGCTGCACAGAGCTAAGTGCCACCAAGACACACAGACAGAGCACAAGTACAAACAGGAAATCAGTATCTTTTACGATTTTTGGTGGTGGAGTTCAAAGAAACATTCTGGTTGCATCTTCTATATCAAAGAGTGTTATTCAACTTCTAGGAGTTTGGTGAGAAATCCCATTTTTGTTCACTGTCAATATTGAATTTCAGAGAAATAGGCTATATCAATCCTAAACATAGGTGTGTTCTCACCAGAATATTTTAGGACAAGGAAGATTTGGTTAGACTACTTATCAAGACAGTGACAATGGTGGTCTGGATCCATGTCACTGTAGGCCTGCTTGGTATACCATGGTATCTCATGGTATGCAGCGATAAGCAAAATAAACCCGTTTGACAGAGTCCCCCCTCCTGCCTAAACACAGAGCCCCAGAGTGTTCACTGAGCCCCAGGAGGAATCAGAAAGAGGAACCCCTCTATCCTCAAACCTACTCTGAACTGTGGAGTCGATCCAAACAGGTCAAACATGGTTAGAACATCCTAGCTGTGTAGCCACATATCCTCAAGGCTCCACCGAGCTAGAATGAGCATTATAAGCTATATATTGCATTAGAGAAATGTCCCTAAAGGCTAAAATGCAGCCGCCAAAATATAATTAGCTCCTTAACTGAAAATCTAGTCCGGTCTGAGCAACAGTTGATTTAGGCTACATACAGTTGAAGTCAGAAGTTTACATACACTTAGGTTGGAGTCATAAACTAGTTTTTCAACCACTCCACACATTTCTTGTTAACAAACTATAGTTTTGGCAAGTCGGTTAGGACATCTACTTCGTGCATGACAAGTAATTTTTCCAACAATTGTTTACAGACAGATTATTTTCACTATCACAATTCCAGTGGGTCAGAAGTTTACATACACTAAGTTGACCGTGCCTTTAAACAGCTTGGAAAATTCCAGAAAATGACGTCATGGCTTTAGAAGCTTCTGATAGACTAATTGACATAATTTGAGTCAATTGGAGGTGTACCTGTGGATGTATTTCAAGGCCTACCTTCAAACTCAGTGCCTCTGCTTGACATCATTGGAAAATCAAAAGAAATCAGCCAAGACCTCAGAAAAAAATTTGTAGACCTCCACAAGTCTGGTTCATCCTTGGGAGCAATTTCCAAACGCCTGAAGGTACCACATTCATCTGTACAAACAATAGTACGCAAGTATAAACACCATGGGACCACGCAGCTGTCATACTGCTCAGGAAGGAGACGCGTTCTGTTTCCTAGAGATGAACGTACTTTGGTGCGAAAAGTGCAAATCAATCCCAGAACAGCAGCAAAGGACCTTGTGAAGATGCTAGAGGAAACATGTACAAAAGTATCTACAGTGGGGAGAACAAGTATTTGATACACTGCCGATTTCACAGGTTTTCCTACTTACAAAGCATGTAGAGGTCTGTAATTTTTATCATAGGTACACTTCAACTGTGAGACGGAATCTAAAACAAAAATCCAGAAAATCACATTGTATGATTTAAGTAATTCATTTGCATTTTATTGCATGACATAAGTATTTGATCACCTACCAACCAGTAAGTATTCCAGCACTCACAGACCTGTTAGTTTTTCTTTAAGAAGCCCTCCTGTTCTCCACTCATTACCTGTATTAACTGCACCTGTTTGAACTCGTTACCTGTATAAAAAGACACCTGTCCACACACTCAATCAAACAGACTCCAACCTCTCCACAATGGCCAAGACCAGAGAGCTGTGTAAGGACATCAGGGATAAAATTGTAGACCTGCACAAGGCTGGGATGGGCTACAGGACAATAGGCAAGCAGCTTGGTGAGAAGGCAACAACTGTTGGCGCAATTATTAGAAAATGGAGGAAGTTCAAGATGACGGTCAATCACCCTCGGTCTGGGGCTCCATGCAAGATCTCACCTCGTGGGGCATCAATGATCATGAGGAAGGTGAGGGATCAGCCCAGAACTACACAGCAGGACCTGGTCAATGACCTGAAGAGAGCTGGGACCACATTCTCAAAGAAAACCATTAGTAACACACTACGCCGTCATGGATTAAAATCCTGCAGCGCACGCAAGGTCCCCCTGCTCAAGCCAGCGCATGTTCAGGCCAATCTGAAGTTTGCCAATGACCATCTGGATGATCCAGAGGAGGAATAGGAGAAGGTCATGTGGTGTGATGAGACAAAAATAGAGCTTTTTGGTCTAAACTCCACTCGCCGTGTTTGGAGGAAGAAGAAGGATGAGTACAACCCCAAGAACACCATCCCAACTGTGAAGCATGGTGGTGGAAACATCATTCTTTGGGGATGCTTTTCTGCAAAGGGGACAGGATGACTGCACCGTATTGAGGGGAGGATGGATGGGGCCATGTATCGCGAGATCTTGGCCAACAACCTCCTTCCCTCAGTAAGAGCATTGAAGATGGGTCGTGGCTGGGTCTTCCAGCATGACAACGACCCGAAACACACAGCCAGGGCAACTAAGGAGTGGCTCTGTAAGAAGCATCTCAAGGTCCTGGAGTGGCCTAGCCAGTCTCCAGACCTGAACCCAATATAACATCTTTGGAGGGAGCTGAAAGTCCGTATTGCCCAGCGACAGCCCCGAAAGCTGAAGGATCTGGAGAAGGTCTGTATGGAGGAGTGGGCCAAAATCCCTGCTGCAGTATGTGCAAACCTGGTCAAGACCTACAGGAAACGTATGATCTCTGTAATTGCAAACAAAGGTTTCTGTACCAAATATTAAGTTCTGCTTTTCTGATGTATCAAATACTTATGTCATGCAATAAAATGCAAATTAATTACTTAAAAATCATACAATGTGATTTTCTGGATTTTTGTTTTAGATTCCGTCTCTCACAGTTGAAGTGTACCTATGATAAAAATTACAGACCTCTACATGCTTTGTAAGTAGGAAAACCGGCAAAATCGGCAGTGTATCAAATACTTGTTCTCCCCACTGTATATCCACAGTAAAACCAGTCCTATATCGACATAACCTGAAAGGCCGCTCAGCAAGGAAGAAGCCACTGCTCCAAAAACGCCATAAAAAAGCCAGACTACGGCTTGCAACTGCACATGGGGACAAAGATCATACTTTTTGAAGAAATGCCCTCTGGTCTGATGAAACAAAAATAGAACTGTTTGGCCATAATGACCATCGTTATGTTTGGAGGAAAAATGGGGATGCTTGCAAGCCGAAGAACACCATCCCAACCGTGAAGCACGGGGGTGGCAGCATCATGCTGTGGGGGTGCTTTGCTGCAGGAGGGCCTGGTGCACTTCACAAAATAGATGGCATCATGAGGAAGGAAAATTATGTGGATATATTGAAGAAACATCTCAAGACATCAGTCAGGAAGTTAAAGCTTGGTCGCAAATGGGTCTTCCAAATGGACAATGACCCCAAGCATACTTCCAAAGTTGTGGCAAAATGGCTTAAGGACAACAAAGTCAAGGTATTGGAGTGGCCATCACAAAGCCCTGACCTCAATCCTATAGAAAATGTGTGGGCAGAACTGAAAAAGCGTGTGCGAGCAAGGAGGCCTACAGACCTGACTCAGTTACACCAGCTCTGTCAGGAGGAATGGCCCAAAATTCACCCAACTTATTGTGGGAAGCTTGTGGAAGGCTACCCGAAACGTTTGACCCAAGTTAAACAATTTAAAGGCAATGCTACCAAATACTAATTGAGTGTATGTAAACTTCTGACCTACTGGGAATGTGATGAAAGAAATAAAAGCTGAAATAAATCATTCTCTCCTATTATTCTGACATTTCACATTCTTTAAATAAAGTGGTGATCCTAACTGACCTAAGACAGGGAATTTTTACTAGGATTAAATGTCAGGAATTGTGAAAAACTGAGTTTAAATGTATTTGGCTAAGGTGTATGTAAACTTCCGACTTCAACTGTATGTGTACACATGCTGGTGAATACAGGACGAGCTTGAGGTGATCTCCCAAAGCGCTTGGGCTTTCTGTTCTCTCTGTCCAGTGAGACACAGGCCTTCATCTCAGTTTATCATTTACTCCAGCTAGGTCATACGATCACCTCCCAGGCAAGGCCACATCAAAGACACTAGATCCTCTTAGAACTGGATTTGTGTGCTATTTACTGCGCGAGCCATCTGCTTTTTTCAGCACAGCCGTTTAAGAGCACACATTAGGGCTAAGAACAAACCAATTGAGGAACAGAGCCATCCACTAAGCTCTGTTCCATTCCAGGCCAGGTAATGAAGCACATAAGATCATCCAGGGCCACAATTCACTGATTGGGTTTAGTGTGTCCCAAATAGTGAGGAAACCTTTCAGCTCAGTTCCGTTTGGGCCAGTGTATAAATAGCCTACCTGTGAGAGGGTTTCTGACTAACCTTGCTTTAAAAAATAAAATGCATATTAGAGGTTCAATTAAAAAGTTGCAATCCATAATGTCCAAATGTCAGAGCCCCTAAACACAATGTAACGTGATGCAATGAATATATCGGATCGGTTGAGTGTGAGATCATGTAGTCCTAGGCTATATACTACCCTGGTCCATGCAGCAGTGAGGATGTGGCAATGACATTTGATCAGTCTAGGCCTAGATGTTTATCATCATCCATTGCGTAATTACACCAGAGAGAGCTTTATTCTTTATAGACAGGGAAACAAGAGATATTGTCCTCTAGCAATTAAGAGTAACAAAATGACAGATTTCAGCATGCAATCTTCCATAATCCCAGAAGTATGTACTATTACATAATCCCAGAAGTATTTCTGAAATGGAGGTAGGTACATTTTCCACCACTTCAAATGATATTTACAGATGTAATCGGCTATATCAATAAACTGAAGGGCTTTAACATTAATTCAGAAATATAGCCTAGGTTCTACTTTATTATTGACTAGAGCACAATAGACGTGTGACCTTGGACAACCAAGAGTGCGCCCGATTAAGACGTCAAATCGGTGGGTTTATGGTGCGCATTTGCGCAGGACCAATTTGCTATCAAACCCTCATTATCATAGACTTCGTTACTGATATGCGTCACGGATTAAGCAATCCATCAAATAAAATGTTACTTGAAATAAACTACAGTGGATGCAGGCAAGGTAGCACATGTGATCTGTGTCTAGTGATGCGGTTAAAGATGGATAAAAATAATTCGCTCTCAGTGACTGCAGGACGCGCACCCGCGTACAACCAAACGGTGCAGATCGATCAAACCCGAGTTCAACAGAATCGAGACGTTTGCATCATATCATCACTCGCGGAAAAAACTAACACAATACCAACTTTCCTACAAACTAGAGGTGATGCTTAGCCCCCCATCCAATAGCAAAGCGATGCTTGCCTTTGTTTTTCACTCCCGAGATGGTGGGGTGTATGAGTAATGGGGGCTGTTGATGCGCGATGTTGACCTTACCCATTTTCTTCAAGTCCCATCATTCTTCGATGGTTCAAAGGATCCCCATTACACTTTGACTGCATACTAACCAGCCAAACAGTGAGCTGAGCATTAA